ATTACACAGTGGACAACAAAATACAACTATCAGTAAGAACAAGTGCAGCCTTAATTTGTGCTGTGTGCAATACCATTTGTTGGTCCATAGTTAGAGTATGTGCCAAAAAAGACAAGCAAGCCTCTCACAATATGAATCATATTTTCTTCAAAGATGATTTTCAGTGGAGATAATTAACCCCGCTGCACTCTGCTCTTTTTAAGAAGGCAGTCTGTTGGAATACTGTAAAACATGATTTCATTCTTGTGTGCAAGTCTTTCTTTGCCCATGAACTGTTATTAACATGTAAGACCTTCAGTAAACACTTTGACTAGACACATTCAGACATGGTACAGCTTTTGTACTGCATTTTTTCTTCACCAAAGTAACCAATAAACAATTTCACCCAAACTCTGAAACAAACATTTTTATTGTGCTGTATTGGCCTCTTTGGTCCATGCTTACAAACACAAACACAGAGGTGAGACATCTTTGATAGATGATAAGGACTGATTTCTGATCTGAGTTGTTTTTCACACAGGTTCAAAAATGTGTGAAAGAAATGAAAAAGTGTCAGTGAGTGAAGACTTCTTAAAGTGTTATTAAGGTGATGACCAAGATTCAGTTTCATTAAATGTGTCTTAGCAACTGAGAAAAACTGTAAAAGTGAAACAGTAGTGTAAACAACAACAAAGATATGAACATACTGTTCATGCGTACATATACTGTACTTGCACATTTTCACTCACACACATACGTTTTTGTATCTTTAGGTCAGTGCATACACAGTCCTTTACAAAATATACACACATATAGATATGCCTGTTAACAGAGCCCAAAGTTGTAAACATCTGGGGCTTAGACCAGACCTAGGGGTATCTGGGACATGCTCTCCTGGGTAGATTTCCACCCCCAATTTATGGCAGCTATACTATTTTTTAAGTTACATAACGGTAGGATAGGGTAGGAATTTTTGTTGTATGTTGGAGTAGAGTTGACAGAATTGTCCTATAACAGACGCATCGGTACCGGTTTATATGTTATCTGATATGAAAATAGTTTTTTAACCATTATTGTAACCAACAATAAATGATGTAACAGAGGTAGTTTATTTATTAAAAGATTTCTTTATACTAAGAGCAATGCAAGGTAGGTGCATCTAAGCTGGGGTTGGCAGCAACACGACACGGACTGTAGTTAACTACTTTAACCAAGTTACAGTTGAGAAAATTGCATATAGAACCTTTTAGAAAGCAGCCTTCTGAGACATAGAAAATGTCTATTTTCATTCCCCCTCCAGTATTTACTGTATTGGCTGCCATATCTGTAATCCCATCAAAGACACCATGTTTTTACTGCTCAAATAAAAAAATGTTTTAGTTCAGTACAAACGTATTGAATCTAAAAGTTCAAGGAGCCTTGCAGCTCTGTATTTGAACTTGGAGGTTAAACTGTGGATATGTGACGTTTAGAAAAGCTCAAATTGACTTTAATGATTCAAAGCGTGTCTTTATGACAAAGCAGGAAGGATGAGTTTAATTAGAAAATCTAATCGTGTGTATGTTTTGAAAGTTAAAATAATCAGAGCAGAGGATAATCTTTTAATCATTGGGAAATATTATTAAAGATTTTGTAATTAATTATAAGGTATCTGATTAAATATTGAGTGTGAAGCATTAGGATTAAGGATGTAATTTGCTCTCATTTCATCTGATTTGCATTTGCATTTTTTGTAGTTATATATATATTTATTTATATATATTTACTATATATATATGTTATATAGTAATATTTATACTATTTGCTTCTGTCACGCCTCCTCTTCATTTATCTCCACTTGACTGCAACTGATAATATTACTATTCAGTGTGGTCCAACAAACACTGTTACATGTAAATGGTAAATGGACCTGTACTTGTAACTAGCGCGTTTCTAGTCTCGACCATCAAACACCCAGCTCTCCTTTACACTACGTGCCACATCACCTTTTCAACACATTCACGATTGCTTCAGTGATGGCAGTCCATCGAACAGATAACTCAACACATTCATGACACATTCTCACACCTGATGCTATGCATCGGGCTTTGGGTTAGTATCTTTGCTCAGGATACTTCGCACATCCAGACGCCGGGATGAACCAACAACACTTCCGATTGTCATGTCAAATTTGGGCCAATAGACTTTTCTCAGCATCCATTTTGACATGTAAAGTAGGGTTTTGGCTCACTGGAAAGGGCTCTGATACACTATCCCCGCGAAATGAACAAAACTTTCAGTGTGTAGGATTTATCCTTAGCGGTGTGGTTGCATACTTGCGTTACTCTCGCTTTCACCCTCCCTGGTCTAAGCGTAAAGGAGAAACTACGTGGCTTTGAAACACACTGGACCATCGCCAAAATTTAAGTATTATTTCAAGGTTGCTACACACCAATGAAAGTTGCCTAAATTTGCATTAGAGCCAAGAGAGATAGTTGATTGTTGTTGACCGAACTATCGTCACCACACCAATGCACCAATTTGTCTTTCCATCCTTTCTGGCCTTGATTGGTTGTTTCCATTAAGGCCTGATAGATTTCTTGCAAATGCCATTAGGAGTTCCAGAATGAGCCAGAGGAAGCTGATTTTTCTTCACCAGATCATCTTGTCTGATGTACTAAACTGTCCAACGATATAGTGTAAGTTTCAGGTGAATATGACAAAAAGTTATTTTTTATAAAAATTACCCTCACACTGCAGCTTTACAAAAGAAATCGATCTTTTTCTCAGATTAAAAAACACATTGAATCGATCTGTTGATCCTGTCTGGTGTATGGGTGCCAGCACGCAT